GCAGATTTTTAAATTTCTATTAAAAACAAGTTTAATTTTTTCTTTCTTCCAGAAGGAGGCACTGTACTCTGCTGATAGCTCTTTCCTTGATGGAGCGTGTAGACAGCAGTTCTTCCTTCTCCTAATGAGGAAGGTTTATTGATGCATTCATAATCCACTCTAGATTTTAGACAACAAAATAAATTAGACACGGAGGCTCTTGGGTGCTTGCTTTTTGTTCAGTTACTGCCTTCAGTGTCTCCTTCTTCGTCTTTGTCCAGACGCTGAATCCAACGTTTTCTTCCCTTCCCAGTGGAAGAAACTATGCTTTCAGTTCAGAACACTTAATGTCAGTCCATGTTAGCAAGTCTTCATTCCCAGCGGCAGAGCTATGTTCTGCGAGTGTCTCCCCACAGGACAGAGCCAGCCAGGGACTGTGGGCATTCGCACAGGAAGACAGAATTGTAACCAGGCAGTGGTGCGCGCTCAACTCTATGCATGGGTTAGTCTATAACCCTGGGGTTCTCTATCCCTCTCTTTCCCACTCTGCCTCTCTCTGTGTGTGTCTCTGTCTCTCTCTGTGTCATGGTCTCTGTCTCTGTGTCTATGTCTCTCTGCGTCTCTGTCTCTCCCTCTCTCTCCCTCTTTCCCTTTCTCTCTCCTGTGTGTACCTGGCCAAATGAGGATTAAACCTCAGGCCCTGCAGATCCTAGGCAAATGCTTTATCATGGAGTTAAGCTTTCTGGCACCTAGTTTCCACAAAGGTATGCCCCAGACACAACATGCTTTATCGGTAAAGCTATGGGCATGCACCTCCTTTAATAATTCTAAGTTAAGGGCGCTGTTCTGACTTGGAAAAGGCAGAAGAGAACGAAACCAAAGCGTGTTGATGGTCTCTGGTACAGATACCATTTCAGAGGCTTAGAGTATCTGCCACTACAGAGCAAGTTAAACCCATTTTCTTCCTAAAGTGTGGCTGCTGCTGTCTTGCCAGCAAATGGGGGCACTGCTGACATCTGCTCATTTGTCTGTTCACTAACAGCGTGTCTCCCAGTGACACTGGGACCCCACGAGGTCAGGAGCCCTGTCTGCCTCTGCCAGGCTTATCTTGCTGACCCTTCACAGGGTGCCTTGGAATCTCTAAGTCTTGTTAGATAGCGTGGCATGGAGCATTGGTGATCTCTATGACATTCACCCTAACTAAGCAGAACGTGAAAGTCTGCCCCACGTTCCAACCTCTCCCTCGATGGCCCCCCTCGCTCATTTCGCAGGAAGTGTGTGCATCTTTGACTCTCAGGGGAAGGCAACATCCTTCTGGCCTGTTGCGCAGCGAGGGCTCTTGTTCTGTTCTACATTCGGTGCCATGCAAGAAACTCCAGCATTACGTCACGCTACAGTCACGTTTCCAACGCACATTCGTCCGTCATCCATTCCTATCCCCACCATTAACTGTGTCACTTGGGGATTCCTGTACGTCTGGTGAAGAATTTAATATTGCTAATATAATTAACTTCTCTTTCGGGAAACCCGTTGTTAGTGTTTATTTTTATTTGGAGACATGTATATGTGTATGAGTATATACCACATGTGTGTGCATGCTCCGGGTGGCAAAGCATCAGGTCCCTGGAGCTGGAATTGTAGGTGGTTGTGAGCCACCCAGCATGGGTGCTGAGGATCAAACTTGGGCCCTCAGGAAGAACAGCAAGTACTCTTTATCGCTGAGCCATCTCTCCAGCCTCTTTTTGAAAGTGTTTATAGAGCCCAGCGGTGGTGGCAGAGGCAGGTGGATCTCTGTGGATTCAAAGCCAGGCTGGTCTACAAATCGAGTCCAGGACAGCCAGGGCTACACACAAAGAAACCCTGTCTCCAAAAAACAGAACAAAATAACAACACAGAAAAGAAGGAAAGAAAGAAAAGAAAGAAAGAAAGGAAGGAAGAAAGGAAGGAAGGAAGGAAGGAAGGAAGGAAGGAAGGAAGGAAGGAAGAAAGGAGAAAGAAAAGGTGTTTATGGAACAGAGTTTTCCATGTTGGAATTTTCCACATACAAGCATATTTTTTTAACATGATTGTTTTTTCCAGCTCTGAGAAGGCAACCGATGGTCCCATACACACCGGCTAAGCAAGCGCTCTGCCATGAACTATATTTCCAGATCCACAAACATAGACTTCAAATTCAACTATTTTTTTAACAAATACTTGTGTGTGTGCAGAGTGCATGCCTGTGCATTGTGCATGTGTGTTCGTTCGCACGCACACACGCACACAGGTGAACATTTGCACGTATCATCTGTGTGCACGTTCGTGTGGACAGAGGCTGACACCAAGTACTCTGCTCAGTTGCTTCCCCGCCTTAGCTTTTGAGCCAGGCTCTCTCAGTGAGCCTGGGGCTCACTGATTCAACAAGACCAGGTGGCCAGAGAGCCCCAGAGATCTTCCTGCCTCCAGCCCCGACCACTGGGATTATAGGTGTGGGCTGCTGGGTGTCTCCGCTTAGGTCCTCAGGCCTGCACAGCGTGTGCTCTCGCAAGGAATCGACCCCTCAGTTCCTACTGAAAGTAGTTTAAGCGTTCAGTGTATGGCTTACATCATCTGAGCCAAACTATCTGGATGAGATACTTTAGGGATAACTTAGACAGGGTGGGAGTGACGACAGCAGAGTGTTAGGAAGAGAGCGGCTAGAATCAGCAGGCACAGGTTCAAGTCATGACCCCACTACCCGACAATGGGGGGGGGGGTGAGGTTAGTTACCTTCCTGCTACCCCGAGTCTGAGGTGTTCGTGTGTAAGAGGAGGGTAATGTTAACTCTACCTCTCAGGGTTGCTGTGAGGGTTCAACGATATATCCAAGGGGCCTAGGACACAAACTCAAGGCACGTAGGAAGTGCTCAGCAAATGTGACCTTTAAGCGTCTTCGTTTATCCAGGGAGGAACATGAGCAAGCTCTCTCTAGGACACAGATAAGTCCCAGATTGCTGTGGTTTAGTTTTACAAATTTCTGTATAAATTTTACTTAAAGATCTTATCTTTTTGTCTCTTACTTTATTTATTTTTAGGAATTTTCTACGTATGGGTTTTTGTTTGTTTGTTTGTTTACTTGTTTTTTGTCATTGTTGTTGGCTTGGGGCTCAAAACTAAGGCCTTGCATACATTAGGCAAGTGTTCTACCACTGAGTGACACCGGCAAACCTCTGGTTCTATTTTTCGTAGTTTAAGTTAGCTTCTGATCCTTACCTTGGTGGCCACATTCTGGGTGATGCCTTTTCAGGACTCTCTCCTCTCCTGCCCTCCTCTTTTTTTTTTTTTTCCTCCTCTCCTCCTCCCATCTTCCTTTTCCTTCTCCAACCTCTTCCTCCTCATTTTTTTTTTTTCTGAAACAGGTCTTGCCATAGCCCAGGCTAGCCTAACATTCAAAGCCCTCCAACAGGTGTATTCTACGACGCTCAGTTAGTTCACAGTAGCCCTTCTAATCTAAAGCTTTACCGTGGCCGAGAAGCCAGAACACTATAACACAAATTTACAAAGAAGGGGTTTCCCCCAGTGAGGGCCCCTCAGCCACTCCTAAGAGTAAGAAACTTAAGCATTCCCTTGGAATTCGTTGACATCCGTTTCTACCTCGAGGTCTTTCTAGCTTACTTATTGTGTTCTCAGCTGTGTTTTGGAAAGCTGGAAATACCAAGTGAGTGACCTATGAATTAACGAGGCACCATTGTTCTGATTCTGTCAAGCATTAGATTAATCAAAACCGAATGAAAGGTTAGTTTCTGCACGTTTTGCCCTGTTAATTTTCTACAATTATTAATCAGCTGCAAAGGTAATTATTAAGCTTTCAGCCCAAACAGTATTTCTAGTGCAATACTTGCATCAAAGAACATCTGACCGACTCTGAACGTCTGGGTCTCCCTCACTTTGCTGGCATACAGAGCTCAAGCAAGATTAATATATATATATATACATATTCCTATGCAATTCAATCCATTGCTCTGAGGCAGAAGTCATCCACTCAACGGAAGAGAAATAAAAGACTCATTAAAAAAAAAAAGTCTGTATGAAAGAGCAAGCAATGCGTAGGTAAAGAGAGAGGAAAATGGGGGACTGCGTGCTCTTGAAATTTAGAAGGAAACGAAACAAGAATATGGACTCATAAAGAGAAACAAGGAATAATTTACCAACTTTATTCCCGGCCCCTAAGGATAATCAGTTTCCAATCTACTCTTCAGTTCAGGAACATCTTCACCCTTTCCTCCCACTGGAAAGGCATGAGAGGGTTTGATAAGAACGCTGTGCACATCGAGATGATCAAACCTTCTGCTCCTGTGGCCGGATGCCAGGAGAGCACAGCAGCCTCCCCGCCCCTGGGAAATCTAAGCCTGAACCAGAAGCTGGCAGACACCAGGCCGCGGTCCCTATACTAATAGACCTAAAATTCATGGAGAGTTTTGCATTATGTGTCCTCATTATGTGTTTTTTTTTTTTTAATGTATGTAACAATAAAATTCTTTAACTCCTATTTGCACGAATTCAGATGAAACGGATGCTGCTGTGGGGAGATTTGCCTTGAGCTCACGGGCCTTTCCCTTGAACGATACCGGTTTGGGTTAGAGGCGTGCGGGCACAGGTGAAATAATATAATAAACAGGCTCAAGGATCTCAAATACCTCACAACAAATTAAGAGCCCGGTTGTCTGTGAGCGCAAATCCCAACTCTTATGCACCCCAGTGAAGCCAAGAGACCTGAAGGACTGGGAAAACTGGGGCCTGTGGTCTTAAAACGCACGCATGGCTTGTGGGCTCCTGTTTCCATACAAAGATCAATAAGGACGTCTCCCCACCCCACGACAGAATTAGCGTTCCTCTGAAAACGTTAACTACCGGAGCTCTGTATTAACCCAATGGGATCAGCTCGATTACGAAGCAAATCAGCGATCACCAACACGGAAAAGGCCCATTGCTGGAAACAAAGTGACAAGAAGGCAACGAGGGCCACGGGAGAGGTAACGAGGCCCAGAGAGGTGTGACACTCACCCTCGTCCTGATAATCGGACCAAAAAGATGCCTCTGACGTGAGGGGTGGCCCTTGAGTCCCGCTCAGGTTGTCATCAGAGCTGTCCTGGCCCAGGTCTCCTCCTGAGGGTTGAGAAAGAGAAGCGGGTCATCCTGTGGCCATCTTGGTGTTCATGTTTACAGGTGTCCCCTGGGGCTTGCAGAAACGGAGGGGCACGTGCCCACTGCCCTTAGCACAAGACAGACAGACAACCGCTTACCCCTGTGTGAAATCTTCCACGAGACCACCTCTCTCTAGCACTAAGCAATTGGTAGCTGCGGGTGGGGAGACCCTTCGCCACAGAAGAGCAATCCCCCTGTCACACTTAAAATGAAAATGTGGCTGTATGAATTTGTTTTCGTTTGTTCTGCATCTCCGTGAATTACAGCCTCTATTCCTCCCCCCCTGCCCCGCCCCCGAAGGCCCCTTTCTCTTTCCATTTCTAGATGGAATAGAGAGAATGACACAAAGGGCTAATCTTCTATACCCATGATATAATTCAGCAAGGTCAAAACTCTCTCCTTCCCTGGAAAAAATAAGGGCAGTAAACAGAGACAACCCAGAACTGGATTCTATTCCTATTTAAATCACTACCTGTTTTGCAACCTTAAAATAAAGTTCGCTCCTTATAATTCTAGTTTACAGCCTAGAAGCAGCCTCTCAGGGATTCCAAAAGCTGGAGGAAGGTAATATTTGTTCTGCAAAATGACTCTGGTAAGAGGTAATGTATATACAATACTGAATTGTGCGATTAAACATCGCTAATCCCTTTTGGGTGTTTTCGGCCCACATTGAATTGTATTTTGTAGAAGTGGCCAAGGCTATTACGCTACTTCAAAAGGTTCGGGCAGAGGATGCCCGCTCAGTCAGAAACCAGAAGAAAATGAAAGCATTGCAAATTGCTTTCCTTAAAAATCCCCCAAACAGAGGTATGGGCTGCTGATAAAAAGGACACCGACAGCTGCTTGGTTCATTTCACAAACATGAAAACGGGATTTTTTCAACTGAATTTAATATCATCTCAGATACTAATTTCCAAAGGAAATCACCAATGCTGATCTCAGTAAACACTGTAGCGTTTCTTGGCCCGGGATTTCAACCAGGGAGCAGTGAAGCCAAACAACCTGCAAAGACTCTCTATTGCCTCGCTTTAAAGGTTTATTTCCTACAATTAAGCTACAAGGATAGGGAGGATATAAAATGATTTTTTTTAATGGCTGTGGCCTCCTCTTTCCATAAGGCAGGCCTGTCTTCAAATGCTGAGTGGTAGGTAGATGCCCTCGACTGCCCGGAACATCTGCATGCACAGGACCTCAGAATAAACTGTAGAGTTTATCATAGAAAAAAAAAATCGTTTTACCTGACGCAACAGTGACTAGCTCAAACCAGACAAAACACTTAAGCTTCGAGCGCAAGAGCATCCCTGTGCGGCTGCTAGCCGATAAAAACCTCAAATCCTGGACAGAGGGTTAAAACACTCAAATTTTACACCATGGCGGAGCCACTGAAATGACATTATCAACAGGATGTAAATTAACCGGCCTGGCTAGAAACCCGAAAGCGAGGTGCAAAGAAAGCTAAAAAGGGGTTTTCATTTTGGAGGCAAATCAAAAATATATTTTTTTTTAAAGTAGTGTATGTTCTGAGCAAAGTTTCACATTTCTAGGATGTACTGATCTTCGTTATTCAACTGTTTATCTAGATTTAGTTTTCTGCTTGCTCCATATACTTCATAGACGAATTTTTGTTTTTTTTATTTCTAAATACTTTAAAAAAAAAAAAACTTTTAAAAAGTTTTGTTTGTTTGTTTGTTTTGACAGGGTCTCTCTCTGTGTAGTCCTGACTGTTCTGGGCCTCGGATGTGCAGATCAGGCTGGCCTCGAACTCACAGAGATCCTTCTACCTGTGCTCCCCAGGCGCTAGGATTACAGGCCTGCGCCACCAGGCCCATCCCTAAAGTCAGTTCTGTGGAAGTGTTGCATACAGCTTGTATAAAGCCCTCCTCCAGCTTTCCTCAACGTCAGGTTCTTCCACGAGTGAAATCTATCTGCGAGCCAACAAATTAATATCGGTGCGTTCAAACTTTATTTAGACTTTATGGAATTTCCCACCGATGCCTCTATCTCTGTTCCAAGCTCCGGTCCGGCGTGCAGACTGCATTCAGGGCTTCCTTGTCTCAGACTCTCCCACCGGACACCTGTCTGGATTCGCCACTTGATTTGTTCTGTGTGACTCTGGCGGCTTCTGGAGAGTTGCACGAGGCAGACTTTAGGCAGCTCGGCTGTGTTCGGTGCCAGCCCGTACCCCTGCCCACACAGGCAAGGCAAGGAAGGGTTACAACTCCACAACCGCCTGGGGAGCCGAGGTCAGCACTGCAGATGGCTGCGGCTCAGAAAAGCACTGGACGTGACGTCATGAGCACTTCTGCCGTCCTGTCCAGTGGTCCACCTCCCCTTGGGCTCACACAGAACCTGGCCCATCACGCTGCGTACACGGATACCCCGGGGTAATGATCGCAACTAGTGGAGGTGCACGGGGGGGGGGGGGGAGTTCTGCGGAGGAGCTGGCAATTGCTGTGCTGCTCACTTTGGATCAGCTTGGGTCAAGAGGCCGAGTTTTTCCTCCAAGCCGAGCGAGCGAGCCGCTCACAGCTCCCTGGATCCGTCCTCGGCTCTCGCCTTCCCGGCTCCAAGTGGCCTCGACTGGGGTCCGGGGGGATCGGACATAAATGATCAAGAGCTACAGTGCCAGACATTTCTATGGAGCCAGCGGACAATTAGGGCCTTGGACTCCATCTGCTCAGAGTGGCTTTCGCGCAAGCGAGGCCCCCTGCCACTGGAGACACAGTTCCCCACTGCGACTCGCTCGGAATCGATACGTTTCTCCACAGATATCTATTCCGACCCACGATATCTCCATTAGTCACCTCCACCGCCTTCGGCCCTTTTCTGGCGCGTTTCTGAACAAGATCTGGGGGAACCCTAGCAGGGGTCCACCTGCCATTAGCTGGTAACTTGCTCCTCCATTCCGAGTGTCAGAAGGATTGGGCGCCCTGCGCGCTCCTTAGTGTATATTCAGTGGCAGCTTCTCCACCGAGCACCTGAGCGGAGGGGACCCTCGGAAGGATGATTTCTCTATCGCTTCCTTCCTCGGAGTCAAACTCAATTTCATTTGTGCTTCGGGGAGGGATGGGTTGGGGTTGGGGCAGAAAGATAAAACAGCTTTGTGTCAGGTGTGAGGTAAGTATTTGCCGGGGTTTCTGGGTTGTTTGTTTTCATCCCCCGAGTTTTCATTACCAGCTAATGAGTCCCCCCCCCCCCTTAATTGGGGAAACAACAGCTCGGCCGCTAGGAGTTTGGCTTTTGCTGCCTCGGATTCAACCAGCTGTTGCAGCTCCATAAACTTTATGGAGAATCGAACGGAAGTGCTAGCAAACTTCCATTTACTAACTCAGTTCCAAATAGAAGAGGAGAGAAATAAAGCATCGTGTTCCCCCTGTAACTCCTTTGACTCGCCAGCCTAGCTTGGAAGGGGCAGGTGCTGCTTAGGGACAATGACAGGGCATGATGACAACTTTACCAGAGAGAGGAAAAGAGACAGGAAGGCAGGCTGACCACTAAAAAGGGCGATGAAATACAAGAGCAAATAACAGAGAAAACACAAACGCACGCTTTCTGCTCAATAGGTAAAGGCTCGGTTTCACCGGCCTTTATTTCTCTTCTAATTAGTTGTGAGTGTGTGTGTGTTGTTAAAATTTGTTATCACCTGTAGGCAGCTGAATGCATCACAGGGTTAGAAGCTTCCTGGGATTTGCTATGACCCTTTTTTTTTTCTTTTCATGTCTTTGAATCGTATACAGAAATAGCATGAAATTGTAATTTTTGATTTTTTTTTTCTGTTACTGCGCAGAACTTCCTACTCCATTGATATTTAAGGACCCACGAGGCATGAGGCTCCCTCCTTCAACTAATAAATCCTCACCAAAATGCTATAAATAAAGTTTCCTGATCCAAAGCCAGTTAGTTTTCATGCTTGGTAGCATTAATATGGCCAGCTCTTCACAGACCAATTTAACACTAATGCAGTTCCCAAAGCTGAACTGCGGCAGGACCGTCGAAATGGCAGCTTCCCCCTCCTCATTAGAACCACTCACCTAAGGCACTGGGTCTAAAGAAGTGTGTTGGAGACAGACGTGACCAGATACGTGAAAGTTATTCACACGCGAATACATTACCGAGCACATCTGTGAGACACCAAAGCTGGGGCGGCGTGCGGGTCTGTCAATACTTGCGTTATAAATTACACACCGTTTTGCACAACCTTGTGTGTGAGAAAATGTATGGTGTTCCCCACAGAACATCTGCGAGGCTTCACCGACTTCTAAATAGCCGTTCGGACTTGCGTGGTTAGTTCTTGCGATTAATCCACGTACAGCGAAGGTCTCGGATTCTTCTCTGTTCTATACAGTCTGACTTCCTGCCCATCTTTTTCCTCCTCCTCCATCTATCCGTAAGTCGATGTATAAATATTCTTCCCCACCTTCAACCCCTCCCCCCCGGCCTCCAAGGCCCTGGCAGCAAGTGTAATAGAACCAGACCAGGGGAAGAAAGTTCCCATTTATCATTCTTCTTAAAAGTTGTTCTAACTAGGTCTTCGATGTGCAACTAGTCCGGGCTTAATTTATGAGTTGTAGGTTCTCTGTCTTAAGAATACTGCTCTCTAATTACACGGCCATGCTAAGAAGAGCCTTGTTAAATCGGAGCCATGTAAATAGTAAGAAATAGAACAATCACTACAGAACACCTGTGAATCTAGCAACCCAAAGGGCAGCACAGCTTAATAATGTTCTTGAAGGAACCACACCAGTCAGCAGGAAACCGGAGAGGAAAATGCCAGTGGAAGCCAGTGGCTTCCCCCCTGACCCCCCAGATCCTTGGCGGCCCTTCCCCCGCTTTTAAAGAAAATGGTCCTTTGTGGTGCAGTTTCTTATTTTAGCCAGTAGGGTGAGCTGCAGTGCGTGGCATCACTGCAGCTCTTTTGGAAAAAAAAAAAAAAAAAAAAAAAAAGGAAAGAAAAGAACTAA